TTCTTCTTCTTCTTCTTCTTCTTCTTCTTGTTTCTTCTTCTTCTTCCAGCCATTAACTTTGTTGTTTGTAATGTTTCTTCACAGGACATCAACGACAACAAACCAGTCTTTTCCAAGTCACTCTACTCCCTGACCATACCAGAGAATGTCGCAATAGGTAAAGATATCCTCAAAGTCCAGGCAATAGACTTAGACGAAGGGAGAAACCGCGATCTATATTATAGTATTGTCAGCGGTAACTCCCCTGAAAGGTTCTTCATTGATGCATCTAGTGGGATTCTCTATGTAAAGAGTGCCTTGGATAGAGACCCTCCAAGAAGCGAGATTTCATTTAATCTAAAGGTAAACATACATTCTTATTCTCTGTAAAGATAAATCATAGCGTGAGTCAAAATTGCTCTATATTCGTTAAAATGTCTAGTTGGGAATAATGATAAAACAAAGAAGAAACTAGGAAAAAATCTAAAGGAAAGTATCTATACTCTTCATCTGGAGAAAATAGGTGCCTTTGAAATTTTTCACGAGTCTGAAAGAAACTTCTTGCTTCCGGTAGAGATCCTTTCAAACATGTTTCGTTAATGACGGTAAATATTTGAAATATTAAAGGACAAGAAGAGTTTGCCCGTCATTTACAGYATTGATTCTGTTAATTAAATATATTGTTTTATATCTATACTAAAGGTGATGGYAACTGATGCCGGCAACAGCTCCCTCAACTCCACTACCACGGTACGATTCCCTTTAGATTTAGTATTTACAATTAACTCGTAGGCCTTTGTGCAGTTTTTCTGTTCTTTAAGCGAAAGAACTACTTAATGCAAAAGAAGGCTGCTATGCCTATTGGTATAACGAATGAAACCAACTGCGCTTRCAAATCGTTCATTAAATGTCGAATTTGACTTTACATGACGTCATCTGATACGTCACTGATACATCATAAACGAAACCTACTACRAATCTTTTGTTACATAAAATTACGTGACGTGATCGCCTGTCACATATGACGTGACAAGTTACACTAACTTTCGGCTGTAATGTGACGTAAGACCACATGACAGCTATGACGTCATGTCGTCAAGAATTAGAGAAATAATAATAATAATAATAATAATAATAATAATAATAATATTTTGATAACGATGTTTTTAATGAACAATAGGTCGTCATTAGTGTATCTGATGTCAACGACAGTCCTCCTGAATTCACTTCCGGTGAGTAGCTTGAGTATCAAGATSTAGACACGTGTTTATTTTGTCCTTATTCACATTTTGATTTGTTTTTCATAGAAACGTATACCGTTTTTATTCCCGAGAACATTACTTCCGGAACAGTCATTCTCCAACCGAGCTGCGTAGACAGAGACCTGGGTTCTAATGGACAAATATCTTACTCTATATCTTCAGGAAACGAAGAGGTATGACTGCGCATGCGCGTGATATTCTTATAAAGCAAATATATCTTTAGAAATGCAATTATATTATATTGGGGTACAACTTTGAAACGTCATCTCACACACGGCACGGTTACGGTACAGAAACGACGAAATACTTTAAACTAATAAGAGTACACACGATCAAAAAACTGGAACATGCCTTTATCATGGCTGCGTCGCGTCACGGCTTGGTGCAGCACGGCATGGCACGAGATGGCACGCCATGACATGTCACTATACGTCACGATATGTAACGTCACTAGAAGGCACGGCGTATTTACACGTCATGTCACGTCGCGGCAAGGCACGTCATGGCACGAGATGGCACTTCATGACACGTCACTATACGTCACGATATGTATCGTCACGAGACGGCACGGCGTATTTACACGTCATGTCACGGCGCGCAAAGGCACGTCCGACGCAAGAGTATAAGAGAGTCATATCAAATCCTGTCTACTGTTCAATTTCTTATTGTAATGTATCCTGTCTTTCATTTCCAGTCTCCTGTCAAGTTYGCTGTAGATCGTGACAATGGGCGCTTGTCAGTTTCTAGTGGATTTGACTATGRCGTCAGCAGAAAGAAATACACCCTGATCATCACCGCAAAGGATTCTGGACAGCCTTCTCTTACAGGGTATATAGTCTAGTATGTTATGAAGCTAATATGGGGGATTGGCGCTCCTTAATGGCCTGAGGGATACTATCACCATTAGAGAGACGTTTCGCACCTATCTTTGCGATATCAGATCATTTGGTTGTAAGCATTAAAAAATATTTCATGCGTCTAAAAGAAGGAAAGTAAAATAAGTGTTACATGGTACGGCTTGAACAACTGGGATTGTGTTCTCGTTTTTCATGTTCATCTTCTAGATATATATATATATAAACCAATTTGTGAGGGCGTCTTAAACTATTATTATAACTATAATGTTTCAGAAACGCGACCGTGATTGTGAATCTTGAAAACGTCAACGATAATACTCCAGTGTTCAGCCAGAGAGAATACCTCTTCACAGTACAAGAGGTAAGAATGAAAAAAGAAATGAATTTGAAGCATGAATAATCAATCGATAGGAAGTTTGGAAAACGAACACACAATCTAGTTACATTGCAGTAATAATGTTTTCATACATTTGTTATTTTTTAGGGCTCGTACACCAACAACGACAAGGCTATTGGTAAGGTCACCGCGACTGATTCTGACAATGATTCTGAGAACTCTCCTTTTGGACGAGTCATTTACAGCTTCATCAACCAATCGAGTACGTATGCAGGTTGATTTTAGCGCGTTAACCCAACCATCAAGCTTTAAATTTTATCGACTTAAGCTGAAACAAGGTCTTTCACAGATTGAACCCTGAATCATCCTCTGGGCTGGTCTAAGTCAGGGCAYKRCTAACTCACAGATCAAACCCTGAAACAACCTCTGGGCTGWTCTAAGTCAGSGCATGGCTAACTCACTGATCGAATCGGGATTTAGCGTGTTGGGTTTTGCGGAGGGAGGGTAACCAAAGAATCTGGAGAACAACTCTTGCCGGAATCAAGGGAGTGATATAACTAGCTCTACTCATGATATTGTCGAGTCTGGGAAGTCTTTGCAGAAGACCCAAGTATTCACAGATTCCATAAACGTATCGTACAATACACATCTCTCRTCTACCTTGCATTCTTCCCAACTTTTTATTTATTTATGACTTCTACCGATTCAGGTTACTATAGAGACCATCACTGGCCGCTGACCACACTAGACAACGGGCTCAACACCATTGATATCAGTGGGGGTGTGACTGCACGTGCAGTTGGTAGTGCAACGATTGAAGCAGATCCTTATCTTGGTAACGTGATTTCATTGAGTGGCTCTGAGGCCTGGATACGAGTTGGGGATTTTGAAAGTAAGTAAAAAGGTYCAGTCTGGGGTTCCTGTGCGTTTTGCAAAAACAACTTGCTTTGCGCATGCTCAGAAATTAAGATCAACACACAAAACACTCGTTGATAGCTTCGATTCTTCCCAAGATAATAATTAAACGCCGGCTCAAGAGTATAAGCGCAGACCGCTTACCATAAAAAATAGTAAGCGTCTTGTTTAATGTCCTAGATTGTGTGCGCTGACAAAATAAAACGCAGGCCCAAGAGTTTTAGCGCAGACCGCAGACCAAAAGAAACGGTAGGCTCTCAAAATGAAAGTAAATAGGATAAAATAAATGATCATTCTCATGAAATATGAGCTGAGTTTTGAACGACTAAATTTAGATTGTAATGGGGCTAGAACAACGTAAATGCGAGCTGACATTTATTCAGCTCTCAGACTGAGTTTAGACGTGTTCTTAAAAGGTTTCACACATTGTGGTGTGGGTGTTCCTTCCGATTGAATTCAGTACCGAGTTGACCTCCCATTTCCCTT